TTTTTCCAGCTCTGCAATGAATTCCTGTGTGACCTTGGTCAAGAAGATTAACCTCTGTGCAAAATAGGAACAATGAACAGCTTTTACCAGTCATAGGTAAAACTAGCTAAACATAGTAAGTTCTGCAAAGTGTTTTGGGATCTTTGATAGGTAGATGCTGTATAGGTACTGAATCAGGCAGAGGAGGGAAACGGTTGAAGCAAAAAGCTGGAGTTGAAAAAAATGGAAGGAGGAAAAATATGAGGTAAGGAGAACAGAGAGTCTAGGAGAGGAGTGTGAAGATGGAAATAGTTGTGGTGAGTTGGAGGTATTTTAATTATAAAAGATGTAGTCCTATTCAGTGTTAGTGTTTGTCTATCTACTTCTAAAGTGATGAATCCTAGGATGTTTCTGAACCTTGGGAATCAGCTATGCCAATCACCTTTCTTCAAATTTCAAGGACAACAACAGTGAAATAATATCTGAAAGTCAAAAAGGAAATATTTTTTCCAATGCGTACATTACAACTTGCATTATCATTGAAAAAAGTGCTACAAATTATCATTGAAAAAAAAATAATGTGAAGGAGAACATCAGTCTGTAAGAAGTACAGTTCTCATTTAAGAATTATGTCTCAAAATGGTGTATTCTGCTTGAGAGAAATTTTCCATACTCCCTACTACAATGAGTCTTCTCTTAACTACTTCAGGCATATGGAACTGACTGGTGATCATCAACTAAGCTGTCTTTTGGGTTTGGGTTTTTTTTTGATTGGTTGAGTGGGTGGGGGTATTTTATTAGTTTATTTAGGCTCATGCACCATGGTTTTGCTTATAATTTATAAATATTCACTTTGCACACTACCTGTTATGCAGAGCATCATGATGTATTTGGAAGTCATAAGTCTCTGTATCAAAATGCTGTTTTAATCAATATATTTATTCAATTACAAAAAAAAAAAAAAGGTACATTTTTACTTTTATTTCCAAGTTCATTCTGGAACATTAAACAAAAAAAAAGATATGATGAATTGTAAGAATCTGAGTGTTTTAATCTACCAGATTTTAGATGGCTGTAAGCTTTTACATTTACTGCTGATGAACAAGATTTATCTCAGTTTTTACTATCATAAAAAGTTGATGATTTTCAGTTAAAAGATGGACTAGAGATGCAGCAATTGATAATCCCTGAGTGTAGAGTGAATCTGGGAAAAGGAAGTATAGAAATAAGGCTGATTTTCTATAGGAAATATGTATATAATGTTGACAGGTGAGAAGCTTAGTGACAAAACTTAGCCAATTGCAGTATTTAGCAGAAAGCAATTTGTGGTGTTCTGAAACTCTGCTCAGTTGAGCAGTCTTAAATTGGACCATACTGATCATGAATGGAGACTTTTTTTACTAATAACTGGAAATCCATTGCAAATTGCTCTGTCTTACAAATCAGTTAAGATCCCTCTGGTGAGTAGCTTGGCATTATGTTGATACAACCCCGCTTGCCTCCAACACCTCAAAACTGTTTGTTTGAAAAACCCTTGGATAGACTCTATTTGTTCTCTAGTTCAAATGGCATTACCTGGGAAAGCAATTCTACCATATGCTGAGCACCGTCAGTTCCTGTTAACTTCAGTTTAAATGAAGGGGCACAGCCCTTCTTAGGAGATGCAGAGTAGTGAAATTCTGTTCTTCGCAGAAGGTCTGCACAAAGCCTATGTATCATTTAAGTGCCACTTAATTCTTTATAATGGAGCTCAGAGTGGATTTGAAGAATCTGATGAGCTTTTTGCTCTCTTGTCTGCAGAGGGCTGAATTTCACCCCTGGTGAATATACACAGTAAAAAGGCAACTACACTGCCTCAGGAAATACACCGTATTCCTTTGCTTTGACTAGTGTAACTCAGTTTCAATTACTGATGAAAATTCTTTGATACCATGCTGATAGAAATCATTGTACACTTAGCTCCCTCCCTACATTGCAGTTTAGCTTCACTGTGATATAATGGGCAAACTGAAAAGTGAAAATGCAAAAAATAGATGTAGTTTTGCAGACAGGAACAGGGCCTCCCTTGTGCCATGGTGGGAGAGAAACTGTGTGTTGGTGAGGTTCCTGAAGCAAAGCGACAGGCAGGTGGGAAAGCAAAATTAAAGGAATGTGAAAGCTTGTAATGGGAAAGAGGCCCCAGGGGGAAGCAGGATGGGGAGCTGAGGGGGCACAGGGGTGCTGCTGTCTGCTACACATGTTTGGGATTACTCCTGAGAGTGTATTCAGGAATTTTCAGGTGTTTATGAACATTTCATGTTTAGTACTATGGTTTACATTTTTGTGTTACTGGTATTGATCCACACTATTGCTGGTTATGTTTCATTAATAAATTAATAAACCATTTTGATACCACTTTTCTTATAACCCATGTGAACTGAGTATCTTTTCCCTGCAAAAGAAGTTGTTCTGATTCTCAAGGCCTAAATGCATGAGCTGGTCTATGTACTTAACACAGAAATGTTGAAGACTTTATGTTCTGTAAAATACTCTTGGTGCCTCCTAAATTTGTGCAGATATAGCCAATACCCAGAGCAAGGACCCCATATATATTTGTGACAATACCGGTAGCTGCATTCTGAGATAGCAAGCAAGTAAACACTGAGAGTAATTCACAGAGGAGATACTTCTTCTTTCCTTTTTTTTTTTTTTTTTTTTTTGAGGATTAGTTCAAATTATGTTTCTAGAAAAAACTCCCAGCTGAGATAGTAGAGGCAATCTAGTACATATTTCTGAGTTTAACTGACTATTCAGTCTTTCAGTGATCCTTCATATTGTTGAAACATTGATAGAAATAGCCATTCGATATATGAACTGTGAAAGACATGCATGCAAATGGGTGAGGTTTGAGTTAATGTTTTACTGAGCTTTTTCTGTTGAGCCTACAACTGGATGCATGCCTTCGCTGAGAAAGGATGAGGCTATTATCTGTTACAGAGGAGATGTTAGTCTGAAAAACTGATATGATCCAGTTATCAGCAGAGCAGTACCTATGGAGCCCAAGCACAATCCAGATTTCTGTGTATTATGTGCTATAAAAACTTAGTGGATTTGCTTCAAAAAACTGTAGTTGTGAAAATTATTTGGGAGTCATTCTACCAGTGAGATATATATTGCCTCATGAACAGTGCAAATTCCTATGTAGAAGTTTAGGAGCTGAAGTGTTTTTTATGATGAAAATATTAATATGAATTTCAAATTGAGCTTCCACTGAAAGAAATCAGAGTTTGTTATATTGCTAGACCTTGCGAACAGTTGTACTGGAACTGAGGACACAAGTTGTTTCATTTCAAAATATTGGAAAGGATTCTATTAAAAGACTTTAAATTGCACTTCTATTTCTTGCCGTGATACAGTGGCATTGGGAATTGTATTCTTAGTAATTCCAGACAGAGAAATTCAGGCTGAATCACACATTCAGGTGAGCATAAATCTGCAACTCCCACTAGGATAGATATGCGTTTTAATCTGCTTGGACCCCAGATTAATTTGATTCAGCAAAAGCTCCTTATACCCTTATCTTGCTAAGTATTTCTCCTACAGTCTTTTTTTTGGCAGGCTTATGACTGTTGAAGGCATGTTGTGGGTATTGTTGTCACACACCAAAGCAGAGGAAGGCATGGTCTGTGTCCCAGGTATGTGGAACAAGGTCTGGCCTTGAGTCCTAGGACACTTATATACAAATTGAAGTGGTGAAGCTTTCTTATTGTCCAGCCAAGGATTGATGAAATGATCTCTGAAGGAACTGAAGAGACATATATTGTGTGGACTATGAGACTTACAGTCTAAGCAAAAGTTAATTTGGGGGGACCTTACCTTGTTTAGCACTCTGCACGTGTGTGTATCACTGTATAAGTATTTTATGAAAAGTACCCCAAACACCTCACTCTACATCTTTGTCTACTGGAGGAGAGTGAAAGAATAACAAAATACTAGATGTTAGTAATATTGTTTACTATTCTATGAAAGGGAACTCAGATACCACAAAGGTGAACTCAAAAGAGTTATAATCTGGAAGGAAGACTACCAGTATTAAAGCCCCTTTTCTTCCTGCCTTGATGAAAAATTTCTCCCTGTCGCTCCTTTGCTACTTTAGCTAATTTTGCTGCTCCTGTAGCTACTTTATTGCAGCTAGAGCTCTGTTGTTCCAGAACTACTTGCTGTGTGTGATTTTGAGGAAATTTTGCAGATCCAGCTTGCCAGAGACACAAGCATTAAGAGGAGACATAAAACACATATTACACCATCTTTCAATTAAGGACCTTCCTAACTAGACTTCTTTTCCTTTGTAGTAATAGGGTGTTTGTACCTGTCTTGTCCCTCTGCTTATTGTGGCCTTCTCCATGATTTCTCATCCTTTGCTTCCTTCAACACCTGTCCACCTTATGTTCCTGAGTTTCTGTCCCTAACTATACCCCTACCATTGCAAGTATCACAGAGTTTCATGACAGCTGTCATTATGTTGACCCTTCTAACTATTATTATAGCTTTTCTCTTTACACTGTATGCCTCACATCTATGAGATGCTATGCACTATAAACACATCAGGATAAGGAGTGTCTGTTCAGGTTTAAGGAGAGTCTAACACAATGGATCCTGGTTGCAGGTCACTTTTAGGCTACCATAGTGATTACTTAGGACAGTAAGGCTTCAATTGTTGGCCCTTCCAGCAATGTTTCCTTGATTGGAAGGAGCATGAAGTAGGACAAATAGCTAGTTTCTGTGTTCTTTTGTTTAATAATAGAGCTGTCTTTTGTTTTATTGCTGGCTTTTAAGTTTTAAATGAAATTTGTTGGCACAGCAGGTGTTGTAAATAATTTTGTAAATTGCCTAGAGCTGTCTACATGATAACCTATTGCTGAATTATCAGATGATGAAAATAGACAACTCAAATGAGAAAGTGTTTAGAGATAAGTGAAATGTGAATTCTCCTGCCAATTGTTTTTGGTTTTGTTTTTTCTTCTTCCTTTTCTGTTCCATAGCACGAATTATCAAAACAAAACAGTGGTGTGAAATGCTTCCATGTTTAGAAGGAGAAGGCTGTGATTTGCTAATCAATAAATCAGGCTGGACCTGTACACAACCAGGAGGACGGATAAAGACAACCACGGTAGGTCACTTCTCAGTTCTATACTTCTTTAATTTTTTATTCACTTTAGTTTATTGAAAAACAAAAAGTGAGGCTTTAATTATTTTTCAGCACAGTTATGTAAAGCCTGTTGCCTTATAATTAATTTGTGTGCCTAAGTGTGCATGTTGAAATGCGCAGCAAAGTTATCAAAAGGATAATATTGGAAAGAATAACAAAGAAAATTGTGTAATTCCAGTGGTTACTGAGAGTGGAAATCCTATCAAGGTTTTCTTAAAAGGCACCAGCCTGAAGACAGTATCCTATTGCTTCCTTGTACATGAATTTTCTTATGCTGAGGTAGTGTAGGGTGTAAAACTAAGCACATGGTCTAGCAGGGCGAAAAGAAAGCTTTCACTGGAAATTCTGGAGAACATATTTTTGCTATTCCCACTATACTGGAAAAGCAAATTGCACAGATCTCTAGTTTTCAGTGAGACCTACAGAAAACACAGCAAAAGATCCCTTCTTCCAGTTTTCCTTTAGTCCTGGTTTGTTGATAAACCCCTCAGTTCTCTGATTGGGTGTCTTGGGGCTTGTGCTTTTAGTGAAGCTGAAAGTATATACGACAGTAATAGTTTCTATGACCTGTAATATATCAAACAGATTTCTAGAAAATGATCTCAAATGCCAGGAATTCTTTGACTTAAAAAATGGAAAAAATCTGAAGAGATATAATAGAGCAATTTTCTGATAGCTTGCTCAACCTCTTGAAATTATTTCCCCTCCTTATAATCTTTTTTCAGGTTTACAGGGAACTTGAGTGTAATTTAAATAAGTGCAATTTCAAGAATATTTAGTCTTAAAAGTACTTATCAGTGAGGACTAAATTAAGACCCATCATCCCCCGCACAGTTTCTCTGTCTGAGCAGGAGACAGGCAGCAGTATAAAAACTGTTATTGTTTTAGAATGCCTGTGTTTTGGAAAATAAATTTAATTCTCACTTTTTAAAAAGAAGGAAGACTTGATCGTGCTTTATGAGATACAAACAAATTTTATGAATTGTCTCTGTTTTGATTCTTCTATGTTTACCAGATATATTATTCATTATAGATGGGACTATAAAACTTAACTCAGTCTCTGAAACCTTACTTAAACATGGTTTACCTTTAGATCCTTTCCATTCAAGTTATGTAAGAGAGACATAAAAAAAACAAAGGAAGGAAATTGCTTTTTAAACATTTATGCCAGCTTTCAAGGACAAGGAGATCTAATACAGTAACTTTGTCATACTTGAAATATAGTTTTAAATCTTGTTAATTCAGGGTTTTTTTTCTGTATCTGAGGTAAACAGAAAACCCATGTACTGTGACACATTGCCAGCCATCATTTTAGTTCTTTATTTGATGTTTTATGGTAATGCCATGACTGAGTAATGCAAAGTAAGCACAGGATCTATCCTTCAGTTTCTGTCTTTAATTAATTGATTCAGATATGCTTTCAGATTAAATACCAGAAACCTAACTCTGAACTCTTACTTGTCTGTATAGCTCTTTAATGCTATTGACATGAATGGAATGACTCATGAATTTGATTAATGTAAATGAAATCATAATCATGCCCCATCAGTAAAATTAAGGCCATGGCAAGTGTAGTATTATGAAACAGACTCCCCACACAGATACATCATTGTCATTGGTGAGGAGAGATTCTGCCAAAGAGCCAACCGTAGAACAGCTCTGAGCATAAGCCCTCATCTAACATCAAGCAGTTTTCAACAGTTGGTATCACACATGCAGACACACAACAAACACACAGTACTTTTCAGTCAAACCAGACTAGCAACTCAGAATACTTACAGAAGCACTGAATGCAGAAGGGGGAGAGAGAAAAAAGAAAGAACAAAAACCCACAAGAAATTCTAGTCTATAATACAGTATTAATAACATACTAAGAAATTTTTTAAAAATAGGTTCTTTAACCACTTGGTTGAAGGGTAAGTTTTGGACAATAGTAGTAGATTTGGAAACTATGTCTTAGGATGACTCCATCAAATGCATGACTGTGATTAAAAGAGAAAAAACTTTCTAACCGTAACCCTAAGAAACATTATTTACTGTAGCAATTCTCTCAGATACACAGCTGCTAATGCAGTCAAATACATGAGTTGCCAGGCCTAGCATGGTATTTAAGTGTGCTGGGAAGGGCAAGAAAAGTAGCCACCAGATAGTATGGGGAAATAAATGTCCAGACACATCGAATTAGTTACTTTACATTGTTATTAAGTAGAAATAATTCTTGACCACATCTCCAACAATAACCAGATTATGTCCTTAGATTTTTCACTAATACATTTTATTAACACACATATGTTAATTTTATGTTTGCAGGCCTTTCCTGATGATATAGCTTGCATCCTAAAGATATTTTTGTCAATTGGTCTTGCGTTATCATAGTGGTAGTAGACCATATAGCAGAGATATTACTGTTTGGTAAATGCTGAAACAATTAATTTGCCACCCATACTAAAGCTAGAATAGTACTGAACTCTCATGAACTGAGACCAGCTGTTGTGATAGTACCAGCTTTTGCATTGATTCCAGGAGGTTGTGTAGAAGTGCAGCCTTTTAAGTACTGAGTTTAAAAGTAGCACATAGAAAGGTAGGATAAGTAGAGATCTTATGTAGGATGTGAGTTTCCTTTTATGTGAGAATATACTTTAGGACTCATAGTTAAATAAGTTTCTAAAAAAATGAAGAAATAGGATTCCTTTTCTGTAGATGAGTTTAACATTTAGTATTTTTTCCATGAAAATTCCAAGCAAACAGCAAATGAAAATACCCATTGCTGTAAAGCAAAAGCACAGTTTCTGTAAATTGTTTGGAAAGGGCTGCTGTTACTTTATATTTTGTGTCAAAATTGTTTACACTTTCTATGCAGAGCCAGATTTTTCAACTACCTAGCACTTTCTGTGATCACCTCTGGAAATAATGCAACCAAATCAGAATTCTGTCCTCACATGGGTAGCAGTGTTTTATATCCATTTTGTGCTCTCTTTGCACAGCCATAAAAGACTACACAAGGTGCAAGGCAAGGAAAATCAGACTCAAAGTATATTCTAAATGGATCTGGATGTCACTTCTGCCCTGTTGTTCTTTCTACAAGGTGTGAATGAACCAAAGAGTTTTCATCTGCTAAGAGGCTTTTAGAATTGAGAACTGACTGGGCTAACTGCCAATCTATGTATTAAGAGGCTGACTGTCAATACATGGAAACAATATGGGAACTTGTAAAAGAAGATAGCAAGAGAATACTACACAGTTGTTAGCTATTTCAGCATATAAGTACTTCCATATAAAAAAGGTCCTTAAAGTCACTTTAAAATTTCCTGCCTTAAAAATTTCTTCTCCCTTTGCTATTCTTATTACCCTTCCAATTATTTATCAAAAATTAAGCTATCTGATTTTTTAAAATAGTGCCAGGAGATACTCCTTTTATTAAAGATGTTGCTGAAAGGCCTGTCCATTCTATATTTCAAGTATAAAACTTGCTAGTGTATAGATGAGAAGATACACAATGTATTGGTTTTACAGGGGAGATTAATTTTTAGCACCAAAGTGTGTATATGTTGCCAATGATCCATCACTACCTAATTGTTACTTAATTAATTCCTTCGTCTACATAATGTGATTTCAATGCATGGAGCTTAACAGAACATTCATGCGCCAGTTTCTCGGTAGCTAACCTTTTTAACCTTTGTGATTTTACTGCTAAATTAGCTGAAGTGGGAAATTAAGGAATGTGGAGAAGCTAAGAGAGAGCTCACGGTGGATAAAAGGTGTAATTACTCTGACATGGAGCTCAGTGCTTAGCTGGTAAAATTTACTAAGGATCTGGCTTCACCAAGGGACCTGACTTTCTTAATAGAGTTTACTTACACACAGAGCAACTTAGCATTCCCTACCATTAATATAAATGACATGCTGGCTGGGTTGGAAAGGAAATTTGTTCCTTACCCTGAAAAATACAATACCTATTTATATTGGCTGCAATTTAAATCAAGATTTTTCTGCAAAGCTTTATCGTACACATATGTATGATAAAATAGATAAAATATACTGGTTTGCTTCTCATCACTGACTCATGAGCAATGTGTTCTCATTCATAACATTACATTCAAGGTAAAAAGATAAATATATACAGATATATGTTACATATTTGTAACATACTTGAGAATTTACTTTTTTTTAGACTGAAGACCAGCTGGAAATGTCCTGAGGCCATGGTCTACTGGTCTGAGCTTGGGACTGGGAGCCAGAAACTCCTGAGCTCTAATCCCGGCTCTGACAGTGACTCCCTCTGTGGCCTTGGGTAAGTCACTGCACCTCTCTGCCTCAGTTTCCCCAGCAGTAAAAATTAGATTAGCAATTCTTAGTTCCATACTTCAGTGAATTTGGGAGTCCTGACCTAACATTTTAGAGGTTTTGAAATTCAGAGTAACTTTAAAAAAAACCAGTGCTATTTATAAATGTCCTTATTGGTGATATTCATGTTGTTGTTAGGTATTCACATAACCCTGGCATTCCTGTACTTAGCCTCACCTGCATTCCAGCTCTGAGTGTTTCTAAATGTGCATTTCACATCTCCACAGGTCAGCTGATTTTGTTTCATTAAGCTGGTTTTCCAAGTATTTTGACATCCCGCCAGTTCTAGTTCTTTGTCCTTCTGGGATACAATACCTACCAAAATAAGCTTTCAGGCAGCGCCAAAATAGAGCAGTGGAATAATGCATGCCTGCCATGCCAAATTAAGTTTCCCTCTTCCCCTTTGTTAGAAGTGGTCAGTTCCTGAAACAGATACAATAAATCCACTTGTCAGCAGTTCATCTACTAAGTTCCTTCACTTTCCTAACTGTAACAGGAACACTAGATACAGACCAAGATTACAGAGGATACTTTTCAGGAAGCTAGTGTATCTCCTCATCACAATCCAAAGAACAGCTTTTAGAAACAAGCAGGAAATTATGATCCTGAATTTTCCATCATTCATAGCCAGCTGTTGGGGAATCAGAATCTTTGACTATTTTTAAGCTATGGGACCATCTTTGCTTAAAGTCCATGAACATGCACGACTGTGAGTGCCTATGTCTTCTCTTTTTTTGTGTGTCTCTTTGTGGTGGCATACCTGCAGCTGCCTTGTGAAAGATCTTAGCAGCAGCGGAAAGGGCTCTCACAAATACACTTATGTGGTGAAATGGGTCATTAACTCTTTCAGGTCATCCTCAGACATACTTACTCTTAATTTCTTATTGTCACTAAGAATCATCTCTATTCTTAACTCCTCCTGTCAACCAGTTAGCATTTCATGAGCTCTGAGACCACTGCTTCGCTAAGCATCATGCATCACAAAGTCCTTTAAAACTAACTCAGATCTCAGTAGTGTGGTTCTGAAATTGATATTTGAATAAAATTTTCCGAGACCACACCACATAACTGGAAGCTAGCCTGAAATATTAATTTCAAATGTTAAAACATTTATGTGTTCTACCTTATATATATATATATATTCATCAAGTTGAGAAAGGGTAGAACATGAACACTTTCTGCAGAGTGTCTTTGGCAGATATTGTTAAGATCAAAGAAGTCATGATATTTGGATTTATAACTGTACATAGGAGCTACCAGAACTAGATTACTCATAATTAACATCTCATTCTAGTGTAACTGCTTATGTACAGGATCAGCCCTAGTCATTGTCCAGTGGTTTATCTGAGCCTTCTAATATTTTTTCATTAATTTGATGTTCTTCTCGGTAGTACTAGCTTGAATTATGAGAGAAAATGCCAATTCTTGCCTTATCATAGCCATGTGCTTCAGTGTGCACTCTACAGATCTGTACCCCAAGGCCTAGATTCAACCTGTTGTTTATTTCTATGTCTTACAAGAGATTTTTATGCTTTGAGCAGTTTCCAGTAATCATTGTTTACAAAAGGTATCATAATTTACAAATGGTTCATGATTGCAGTACTAAAACTAGATTGCTTTCCGTTAATTTCCGAGCAAGTTACTATGGGAATTGAATGTCTTAAGTCTCAGAGAGGTTAAAAGGTAAGTTTCTAATTCTTGTGTTAGAAAGAAATAGTAGCTTGAGATGACTTACAAGCAGAGTGGTGGGATAGTCTTCATGGCCCCACATTTTAAGAACTTCATGCACTGGGAAAACAAAAAAAACTGAAATAAAATTCTTGTGACGCTGAAGCCCCTCGCACCATGCTATTCCTATTTTGTAAGCTGTGCACTTCTTTGTCGTACCAAAGTATTGAAATCTGCACATTCTATTTTTCATCATCCTTATCAAAATGCACTTCTTTGTTCAGATAACTGATCTTCAAGTCCTAAACCAAAATGCCAGCAAAGGTTTTGTGACTTTTGTAGACTTTATGTTGAAAGGAGCTGTTAGATACTTGAAGAACCACCTTAAAGATATTAGGTGCCATCCTCTGTCCTGAATACTGAATACTGGTTTTACTAATGTTCAATGATTCACACTACCTGAAAAGAGATCACAATTTAGTCCAAGAATAATGTACAGTAAAATAGCAGGGTATGTTGAAATAGTAATTTGTTACCATCTCAAATGATTCCTTCAAAGAAAACAGGGGATATAGAAGTTTTTCTTCTTTTTCAGAACATGTATTTTCCAATTATAATGGGGACTTATAATATCCTCGGTTTTATTTGTCTTTACAAAGTTACAGAAAATATGAATACCTATTTCTGCATGGGCTGTTTTAAAGATATTACAATTCCTGTACAAATATTAAAATCAATTTTGAGATAGAGAAGATTTCTAGAGATATATCTTCTTTCAGGATTCCTTTTTCTTATTTGGTATTGGGAATTTACTTCTAGCATTTATTCCAATCTTACAATACTTACTTAGCAACAGGGCAGTTTCAGATTCAGTGAGAAAAACTGGTTTCTGTTTAATGCTTAGGAACTATAGTTTTTCTTTATGATATGGATTAATCTATATTTAAAACCAGTTAGTTCACTGTAAAATGAGCTACATTCGGATCTGTCTTGAGGTTTGAATTGTCACCTTCAGTAAGTAACAAAAACTGACTCTACCCAAGGCAATGATATTAAGCTTCCAATAACCTATTTCATGGTTTTGTGGAATAAATTCTGTTTTCAGTAAAAAACCCAGGCAAAAAAATCATGGATTTTTATTTTTTTTTCTGTGCTTTGAAAGTAGAATTCTGAAATGTAAATAAAACCACATATGTAACTTGGTGAATTCATTGACCATGGTGTCATAGTGCGAACCTACCCAATAAATTGTGAACATCTAAAAATGTTCAAGTGTATCCAAAACTTTAAAAGCTGCATTTTAAGGAATGCCTAAATTGTTAAGTTGGTCCTACTTAAAAAAAATGGTTTAATTTGAAATTCTTTCAAATTCTAAAATTTTCCAGTACACTAGTAAAAATTATGGGGGTTTATGGGGCTGAGATTCTCATCAGTATGCTCAAAACCAAGAACCTACATTTTAAAAATGGATGTATCAGGACATACACAGTTCACAGATTCAGTTATCTGCATGGAAAAATAGCAGGCCCATCAAAGAGTGAAGAGGCTAATAATAGATTTTGGTATTATTGTTTAGCACCTTAATCACCATTTATATTTAGGTAAGCCTTTCCAAATACTGAAATAGCATCATAACTGGTCTAAGAAATAAGCATTCTTAAGGGTATTGAAGACATCTATCATAAGGTGAGCATACATGACATAGAACCAGTGCCTTTGTGGGGTGACAGCTGGCAGTCATGTAGAAAATATTAATTCATTACTTGCATTAAGCAACTAAATCTCATTCCTCATCTACTAAACCAGACAATTTGATACAGTGCTGCCCACTCCTACCATATATGCTTCATTATAGATTGATATTGTCTGAAGGTTCTGATTTCTTGCATTAATATGAGAAAATCAATTTTCATTTAATAAGTGACTGGAAAGAGAGTCTGTCTGAGGAAACAAACAGGAAGATAACGTGCAATTTTGTGCTGTAAGTAGCACAACACACTGTTTGTAAGAAATGATTCAATAGATGCTCTATGCCATGTAGTTGAACTAAAGGGGACTGCAGGATACATTGTAAATATGGAAGAAAAATAGATTTGAAAATGCAAACAGGGAAGAGAGCAGGAAAAGACAACAGAGAACTTGAGTATATAGGGTTTTTTGTGGGCATATAGTGTAAAATTATGGAGGCTGGGAGCTGGTATGTTGCATTGACATTGAGAATTTAAAAATGCTAAAATTATTGCACATCAGTTTCACAAAATGAAAGTGTTCATGCCACAAGTGTTAGAAGATGAAGTTGTTGTACATATATATCCATTTTGGAACATTTCCATTTTTAAGAATATCCCCAAAGATTTCTGTTAAATCATACAAAGCAAGCTAGAATTCTTGGACTGAACAAAACAAGCAATGAATAAAGAAAATGAAAAAGGTTATAGTTCAGGGATTTTTATAATACATTTGACACGTTATTTCTTAAAACCATACTTGAAAATTAATTCAGAAAGGCATGTCACATTGAAAACTGTCATTTCAACAAGATACTGATGGAAGACCTGTGAACAGGGAATAATAACACTTAACAGGAGTGTATTGATCTAGGTCGAGGTGGCCCAGGAAGTGACAGACTTGAGAAAGGTCTAATGTTATTTTATTAAGAATGGTTTCAAAAGGATAAAAGATGTTAAGCTGTTAAGTGTTATTGAAAATCTGTGAAAGGTAGACACATAACAGACATTTCTGTTTTCCAGTGTTCCCCTGCTATATTTTCACTAACCATTTGGAATAGCAGTACTCAGTATTATTATGTCTGCACATAAGTTTCTTTACCTTGGTGACAGACCTAAAGGATGAGGTTGCCAGTTTTTTGATCTAGTTAATTCCTGCCTATGAGGGTTTGTTCTCAGCTACTCCTTTTGTTCACTTGCATATGTTCACTTGCATATATCCAGTATACTGGAGTATGCAGAAAGACAACTCAGTTTACAGAATTGTGGGAAAGTGATAGCCCAAAGCTCAGGCTATTCCTCTTTCTCATTAGACCTTAGCAATCTCATTACGTGGCAGAGACAGGAGTCTGGAAGTGAACAAAACTGACTGCTCCTTAATCCAAATAAAACCAGGCAAGGGTGGGACAGTAAAATCAGTCAGCAGAATATAGAATAAGACCTTTTCTTTCAACTGACAGTGCAGCTTCACGGTAGCCTAAACCAATCTAAATCCAAACTGCCCCAGACCTATTCTCCCAACCCACTCTGGCTGTATATGTCTGACCTCTAT